AGATATTAGTATCCCTCAGAACAGTGAACATGTTGATAAGCTGATCCTCCGAAAACTTATCCCAGTTTTCATTGAGGCTAGTAGAAAAATACGGCTTCAACTTGTCAAACGAGGTCAGAACTAGGGGTCGAGGAGGACCAGAGGTTATTTGTGGGCTAGACCCCTCAGTAGCAACTCCTTTGTCCTTTTCTAGTTCGGTTACCCGAACATGTTTCTTTTGGCGAAAGTTGCCAGAATCTGTATGTGAATTCACACCAACAAAAATCGTCTCAGGATGGGCGGATCCCGTTCTAGAAGTAGCTGAAATCATGGAAGGAGAACTCTTCCATGAAGTTGGAGACAAGGTCTCTTGAGATGTTCCTTTGACAACAACACCCTTCTTCATCCGAGCAACAAAGGCAAGATCCATTGTCTTATCTGAAAATAGCAAAATGTTAGAAGCTATATATAAAAATAATATAATATTTTGCACTCACTGAAGCTTTTTCGGACCTACTCTAGTGAGTGGCAGCAGGATAAAACCTCCCGAGAAGTAATAGCAGCACCTTCCTTGGCTAACGCGGTAGCCAACTCTTTAAACCAATTGTAGGTTTCTAACACTTTATTCGTCAAATTCTTTGGACTATGAAGAAACACTTTCCCTGACTGTGTATAATGAGCTCAGTTCTAGGATAGTGGAAACCGAGGAAGTCCATCCTGGTTTAAGAAGAAAGGAGAAGGCGCAACATTTTGAAAAGAAGAAGAGGAAGCATAAGGAGTAGAAAGAAGGGCTTCGGGAGCATAAATCTTCAAATAGTCTTCCTTGAAGTTTTACCAGTTATCCTAGAAAATAATATACCACTTCAAATCAAGGTGGGCTTTCAAAGAAACCCAACTGAAATGAGTACTACCTTTTTCAATAGCTTTGCGAAACACCACAAAAAGACAAAAAAAGAAGCGACAAAAATATGTCAGCTCATAAGCCTGACAAATCAATTCAAAAACTTGAAGGAACACCACCTCGTTAGGATGGAGTTGAGAGGGTGCGAGATCAAGGCAATGAAGGACGTCTACTTGGAATTCAAAAAATGATAGTCGAATTCCTACTTCCGAGAACAAACATTTATATATGAAGAAGAAAGCTTCATCACATTGCCTATAAAGGGAACATATTCTCATGTTCTCTCTAGGGGCTTCAACCTGAAAACAAATGTTGGTAGAGTCATTAGTGAGACATAAAGAACGCAATGATGATTGTAAGGCAGCTAAATCATCTTCGTAAGATGAGCGAAGTCTTAAAGCTTCCTCGTCCACCTATTCTAAACCAGTAGTGTTGGGTAGAAAAGCAAAACGAGAAGCAGGAAACAAGCGATAAAGGCAATTTCTCGGAATGTGCCTGGAAGGAAAGACACAGTTAGACTCTAAGTCAGAAATCGGATAAAAAGACAATGATGTATCAGAAGCCCGTAAGGGATATAAAGATACCCTAATACACCCAGAGCCCGGAATGAAGAGAAAAAAGGGCTTTGACGCCATGACTAAAACTCCTACCACATAACCTAGAATTCCTACTAGGCAAAAACAAATTCTTTCTCATTAAATTAAAGAAATATAATCGGTCAATAAAATCTTGGTCACTCAAGATACCTTTTGGGCTACAATGATTATTCATTACAGTATTTTAACAACACATATACAAAAAGATAAAGATTCTAATAAAGAAAGGTCTACAGAAAGATTTACCTGGAAAAAGAAAGTGATCCTTCAAAATATAATAGGTTCCTAGAAGCCTTCATAAGATTCTGAAGTGAGAAAAGGATACAGCCCGAAGATGAGGATAATAGGTTCGTCCGCAAGATAGTGATGAAGAAGAAGAAGAGAGAAAGGGAACAACGAAGAAAACCTTTGGAATGTAAGTGACTGAAAATGAAGAGGTGATACAGCTGTATTATTGAAAATAATAAGTTTATGTTGTGAGGTGACTTTTTGTGTTCTAAATTCTTGAGATAATGACAAGCTTAATGGCGTTTTGAATTTTGAAATTCATCATGAAATTTCACTTCGCGCCTAGGAAAAAGATTCCAACTTGTGAAGATACGACACGTGGCCCAAAAACACAATCAGTAATAAGTGCGAAATGACATATGACAAGGCAGATTCTGAGAATGATGATCACATCATATATCATCACCTCAGAGTATCCTTACTTGTTACTCTGAGCTGGGGGGGGCTTAATGTTCCAGGTTCAACCCGTTATCCTTCTTGGGCTTGTAGTTGGTCCCAATCCGATTATGGGCTCATGGTTGAACTTACCCATACCCAGCGTGGAGCCCAACCTTGTGCCCAAATTGTGGGTCTAATCCCACGATCACCATCCTCATATGCAACTATTTGTAACTGCCAAGAACATTGATGAATAACTGTTTTCCACCCACGATCTTCTTCCATAACTACTTATAATGGTTGTTATAAATACACATGCAGTATGATAATGGAGACACATTACCAAGAAGTGGAAATATTAAGCACTCATACCATATATCGTTCACCAGAACCTTGACCTAAACACTTACCTATTACCTTAGTCGATGTTCACTAAGAACAATATATATTATAATATGAGATAGATTATTTTACCTACTTTTTTATCTGCCTACCTTTGTCTACCACTCTCCAACATTATTAGATCAAAATCTCAACTACATTTAGGGGGGTGTATTGGATTAGAATTTTAAAAGACCTTTTTGAGATAAAAAATCTTATAGATTTTAAAAGACTATTGAGAATTGGATGAACTTTAAAGACTTTTTAAAAGACTTTTTTTACAATCAAGATTTCATAAGATTGGATTTTAATAGAATTTATAAAATTTGAAAGGAAAATATGGATTTATAAGATTTTAAAAAACCATACGAATTTTTAACAAACATTCAAAATTACAAGAGATAATAATAAAAAATAACAAAGAAATGCAATGAAATTAATAAAAAAAAGTAAAACTTAATACAATTTTCTCAAGAGAAAGGTTATACTTACAACTTATTTTTGTTTACAACCATATCTTAACCGTTGATTTCTTCAATCAACGGTTATCATTTATTGTGAATTAATAATTAATTAAAGAATTTGATTTTAAAAAATAATAACTGTTGATTAGCGAAAATCAACGGTTAAGATATGATTGTAAGAGGTTGTAAATGAAAATAGGTTGTAAGTATAACCTTCCTCTTTTCGCAATCAGTAAAACATAATATAATTTTTAACAAACATTCAAAATTACTAAGCAACAACTTTTCACATATCTAAAGTTATACTAGTCTTCCACGCATTAGCATTTTCTCGTTCATGCGCTTGGGTTTGACCAATGGATTGAAAATTATCTTCTTCATTTGGTATCAAAGCTATGCATATACGATTATAAGACCTAATTTTTTTAATTATTAAAATAATTCTAAATTTGCATATAGAACCTAAAGTTCATGATAAAATTTCGTTTGGAATTTTTTGCAATTGATATTGAAAACCTTGGGGGGGGGGGGGGGTTGTCCTACGAGATGAGAGTTTTCTAACTATATATCATATGCATATTTTCATTGAATATTCTAAGAAAATTTTGAACCTGAATTTCTAGGTTTTATTCCAGGAAAGTGATGATCCAATTTTTTTTTATATTTAATAGAAATTATTTTTTATTATATTATTTGTTGTGTTATCAAACACAATTCTCATTCTCGGAATAAAAATAGAACATGTTATCAAATACATTTTTTTTCTCAGAAACTGTTCCAAGGCACATAAATAGAAAAGAATTATTTCTTTTCAGAAACAGTGCTCGGGAATAGAATGGCTATCATGCACACCCCTAGTATAATTTTAGATATGTGGAGAGTTGTTGCTAAGTAATTTTAAATTTTTGTTAAAAATTATATTATGTTTTATTGATTGAGAAAATTATATTAGGTTTTACTTCTTTTTATTAATATCATTGCATTTCTTTTTTTTATCGACTATTGTAATTTTGAATGTTTGTTAAAAATTCAACATATTGTCCTTTTAAATCTTATAAAATCTATTAAAATCCTTTAAAGTTCAAATTTATGAAATCTTGATTGTAAAACATATCTTTTATAAAAGTCTTTAAAGTTCGTCCAATTCTAAATAATCTTTTAAAATCTATAGGATTTTTTATCTCAAAAAAAGTCTTTCAAAATCCTAATCCTAATACAAAAATCACACCTTTTTTGTGCCAAGAAAAACTGCGACCCATAGCTTGGAAAATTATTTTTTAAACTTCCAAAATTTCTCAAAAATGGCTCAACAAATATATTGTTTTTGAGATATATTATATTGAAATATCATTGGTTTGTTATTTTTGGATTGTTTTGTAATAAAAATCGCTAAAAAATATGTTATTTTTTAGTTTTGACGAAGCTCCCATGGCGAAATTCGATTTTGAACGGGTCAACGTGCCAAAGGAAGAAGAAAATACTGCAATAGAGAAATCTTAAGAAATCGTAGGGGTTATGATAAGATTGTGAGAGAGACATCCTATTTATATTTTTTACTAAAAAGTCTCACGAAATTCATACCAATAAAAAATCCATTAAAATCGTTAGATTTTTTAATACCACCAGATTGTTTTTCCATTGTTTAAAATTTTAATTGAATACCAACAGATTTAGACAGACTCTAAAATAATCTTTTAAAATCCTAATCGAATACCACATGACTTTTTTTCAATCTATTAAAATTTTAATTGAATACCAATAAATTTTTTTGTCGAAAGATAATTCATTAAAATCTTTTAAAATCCCAATCTAATTCATCCCTTTATTATTTTTAACTTCTATTAACATTCTGATATAATAAAATTGGAGAATAATAAACAAAATAGAAAAAAAAATGTTATCAACACCAATGATCTGTGCATAGAATATTTTCTTATCAACATTTTTCCACTTACATTTGGAGAAACCCCAAATCCACTTCGTTTCGGAGTTTCGCAAATAGACAATTTGCGCAAACTGACATAGAGTGTTCTCTCTCTTCTCTAAATGGTTGTGTAGGGTCCACTCTACAGTGAGCCAAAAGCAAAACCCACATTTGGCATCTCATCCTGAATCAAATTCAATTGAACCCATTCACCAAAACCCTAATTTACTGTCTCTCCTCAGCCTTCCAATCCTAGATCTTCAATCCCCTGAGATTTTAGGGTTTTCTTCTCATCCACAATGGTAAGTGCTTTACCTTCTTCTCCGATTTCCTTTTTTTTCTTTTTTTCTTTCTTCTATTGTTTCTTTTATAGCTCAATTTTTACTACACGATTTCACACTCAAGTTTCCATTTATTTATTTGTTTTGTCAATTGTTCCTCACTTTTAGCTCTCCAAATTTTCAATCTTGCCTACTTTTATCACTATTTATCTATGCTAAAATGGTTGTTTTCTGTTATAACTTTTGAGCCTCCCTTTGAATTTTGAATTAAGTTTTGTTGTTGTTGTTGTTGTTGTTGTTGTTGTTGTTGTTGTTAATTGAGCGACTTGCTTCATATAACAATTGAGGATGATACTCAAATGGAGCTGTGTTAAATTGAATGATTTGATTTAAATGTATTTATGTTGTGTATTATGGTAATCGTGATATATAATAATATATACTGATTAATTTTCTGATTTTTACTACAGCACAAATTGGGGAGAGGTCATCGTGACAAATTCCAGCAGTTCATCGCAATAACTGGAGCCAGGTAATCTTATAGTTGCCTATGACTTCGTTGCTTCATTTTGTTTCACATATCTTTAGGTGCACATGATGATTTGTCATTTGCTTGTGAAGCTTCTGGAATTTACTTCTATTATATATTACAACAGAGATCCATTTTGGGTGTATGTGTGTATATTATATATCTATCTGTCTATCTATAGGTATATATGTATGTATTTTGGGGTTTCTTTGTGTTCAATCTTGGATGGAAGGTCTTTGTATACATTTCTGTTTTTAATCTGAAAGCTTTTGAAGTTACTTGAATTGTTTACTTTGTCTGATATTGACAGGGGAGTGTGTGATCATTCTGGGCAGGGTTATATTTTCTATATCAAATATGTTTTGCTTTAGATGCCATGTTGATGCTTATTGTATTTTTTAGTCTGGTTCATGTTTTTTGTTGCTTCATCTGAATTATTTGAACTTATTTTGTGGGTTTATTTTTGGAGTTTATACGAGTGCACATCAAAGGTGTCTTTAACTTCTGTTATCGATTTGAAAAACTTATTTTTTATTTTCAGTGAGAAAGTAGCACTGCAGGCTCTGAAGGCTAGTGATTGGCATCTTGAAGGAGCATTTGATTTTTTTTACAGCCAGCCCCAGCTTAAAACATTTACTGATTCTAGACACTTGGAGGATCTATACAATAGATATAAAGGTTAGCAATGAAGGTGAAAAAAAAAATTGATACACTGATAGCTTTTATATTAGAGTAAGTAGTAACTTATAACCTCCAGTAAGCACGACAATAAATTGGTCTGGAAACATGAAAAAAGGATTGGAAGAACAATAATAGTATTATATGTATAGAATAGTTGAGAACCATGGAGTAACTTTTCTATCCCTTGAGGTTGCACCCTTTTGGAAAACAAGTAAATTTTGCTACATAGTTTATTTATTGTTATTTTGATAGAACAGTGATTTTCATTTATTCCTATCTCAAATTAATTATGGCTTGTCAACTGAACTTGGAAGCTTTCTAAGATAAAGTATCATGTAATTAGAACTGATTCCCCAATGTGGTTGGATGAAGTCATTATAAAGGAATCATTAGATAGGGTTCTATGTAGCCTTCTTTTGATGAAAGGGTCTCTTTCTGGACGTAATAGTTTTAATGTATTTCAAGTCTTGGTATTCTGAATCTTTAGTATAGTAGTATACTAGTATGCATTGATTATTCTCTCTCACTGCAATTGTACTTATAGGATAATGTGCAAATTTCCTTTATTTGAGCATAAGGGATGTGGAAGATATGGTGGACTCAATAACCTTTGCATGTGAACTTACATTAAAGATGTTAAGGCCCTATTTTTGTTTTTCTTCTCTCGCTGAGATGCTTATATGAATTTTAAGGGTGACTGGGCCATTACTAGTTGTTTACTTTTAAGTTATTTGTTACCCATAGATAAGTGGCTATCCTTTATTAAAACATGGTACATAATGCCTGTTTGCTAATCCTTTATTGCACTAATTTCCATTCAGATCCATATGTTGATATGATTTTGGCAGATGGCATCACTCTCCTTTGCAATGATATCCAGGTTGCTGTTGCTGAACTCAAATTAATTATATTCATGTCTTTATTCAGTATCTGTATAATCTTCACTTATAAGTTATCATGGAAGCTGTTATAATGATGGAACAGTACTTGCAAGCATTAATTCTAGATATTTTAATTGGAATTGGAGCAGAATTGCAGTCAAATGCTTCAGGAATTTTGGAATTGGATTATTCTAAGGTGTCTGGTTATGGGACAGTGTAAGGATCTGAACCAGCAAGTTCAAGAGTAAACCCAAAGACAGACAATTTGTATATAATTCTCCAATTCAACAGTTATCAATTACAAGGAAACACCAAACAGTATGACTCTTCCTAATTACAGATCTCAGAACTGATCAAAACAGAGAAAGTAAAGATTACAAAATAAGAAAGTAAAGATAGGTTCAGAGGAGTTGGAGAGCCCATGATCTCTCCCAATTTCACCCAAAGGTGCCCCAAGTCCCAAATGCCAAAAGATCCCCCAATCCTTCCACACTGCTCCCTATTTAGCTGAATTCCCTAACAAACTTTTCCCTCCATGATGAGTCAGTATAAAAGAATATTATTCCCTGCATCGCTGCCTATGGAAGACTTACTGTTGAGCCCCTAATATCAGTTATGGGTCGTAACAGACAGATTTGGTTGAGAGTTCATCAGAATAAATCAGAGTAGTGGAGATAAAGAAAGAAGAAAACCTAAGCTTCACACCTTGGGTTCTTAGGCATAATGCCTAACAGATGCATAATGTATCTTGACAACTCGTTTTTTGTCTTAGAAATGAACTCTATTTATTCTTGGATAGTTGCTTGCAATAGAGTTGGTTGAAACTTAGGTATCAAGCAGTCCAAAACTTAAGCCAAGTTTAATGTTAACAAGATGGAAGGAGTAGGTTGAGATGTAATTATGGGGGAATGGAAATGTAATTCGCCAAAGGGATCTGCGAATGCCAGGAAGCAGGTTTTAAGGCCTTTGATTTTTTTTGCTGGGAATTGTGTCAATTGGCAATACACAATATACAAATAAAATCTTATCTGTAAAACAATGCTCAACCAAATTGAAACGTTTTATAAATGATAAGACGTGAAACATATATCGATGAAAAAGAAGGTATGTATTAGGGCTTGCCTTTAAATAAATAAATAAACAAATAACATCTAAATATGAAAAAATAGATTAAAACTAAACTGAAACCCACTAAAACACTTGAAAATGTATTATGTATTTTTTTATTTGAACTTTTTAATTGTCTGTATTTAATAGTATATTTAATATACTGTAACATTTATTTTTCAAAATTTATCTTATTTGCGAATTGTATCATTCATATTAGACATGATACTTGATACCTGGATCATATTCATGTCTGCTTGATCATCTCAGTCTCTTAGGTTTTGTTAAATTTTGTCATTATCACACTGTTGTTTACATCTTATGGAATTCAGTTGTTTTAATATCATTTCTATATTTCTAGTGCTTTTGAGTTTTGATTCATTCAAAAGTTTAAGATCATTTTTTATCAAAATGTAATTAATGCTTGAGTCTTCTTTTTGTGTGCAGGTGGATCCTCAAGATATAGTAATGGTACGAATATGTATTTCAAACATTGTTTCATTTCTAGATCATAGATAATTGCTTTGGTTATATTGATTATTTCCTCCTTTAATATAATCCTATGCATGATACTTTAGAAAATCTACTGTTTAAACAGTAATCATGCAAGCTACAAATACATAATAACTGAAAATTCAGTAGGTTTGTGGACACTAAAAGAGATACAGGGGGTGAAAACTTTAGTTGGAAATAGTTATGGTTTTTCAAGGGTTGCTTTCTTTTCTTGAGTTATATATACATGGCTAATAAGTTACAGATGGCAATGGCATACAGAAATATTTAAATTGTTTTCACAATCAGTCATTTTTCTCAGTGGAACAGCTCTACATGTAAATAAGCTTCAACAGATATTAAACATAGCAAGATATGATACTTCCTTTTTAGGGAAGGAAAATAAAGAATAATGGTAATGTTATCACTCATCCATGGTGATGATTATTGGTCCCTGGATTGTGATATATGCAATATTTGTAAATGAAGGTTATGTAATTTTAAATGAATAACTGAGGAGCATGAAATTTACATATTTACGCTTCCTACTGTTAGTTTTAACTTGGTTGCATGATTAGAATGCATGCCGTTGACATAAGAATGCCTTGGCGATGTTCGCATTTTTGCAGTTAGTTCTTTCATGGCATATGAAGGCTGGCACCATGTGTGAATTTTCCAAGAAGGAGTTTATTGAAGGTTTACAATCTCTGGGGTATGTATTTCTTTTTGTGATTTTGAAAAGAAACTTTCTTTTTATAATGACTAAATCCCAGTTAAAGGCGATATAAAATTATTGCAGGATTGATTCACTGGAGAAGTTCCGTGAAAAGATACCACATATGCGCTCTGAGCTGAAAGATGAACGTATGGACAATAGCATTCAGATCATGGCTTGAAATTAGTCTTAGTCATGCGATTTATTATTCTTTTGTCACTTGAAATTATCTCCATCAATTGTTGAAGAAGCCCTCTGAAATTATATTCTGTGTTTTTGATTGTCCAGAGAAGTTCCGAGAGATATATAACTTCGCTTTTGGCTGGGCAAAGGAGAAGGTATGTGTTGATGTCTACTTGTTGACCCTCTGTCCCCCTGTTGAATAACTGAACTAATTTGCATGGCAGTAAGTGATAACCTGTGTCCATAACCTAATTTAAGCAATGCATTTGCATGTAATACAAATTACAATCTACCAGTTCATACGTAAGATGCAATTGACCCCACCGTGATGGAACAGGGAGGCGCTTAGGAAAGTAATGCTCTAATCATAACTAATTTGATTCACTAATTACTGAATTTGAGTTATATTGGATTGTTTCTGTAGTTTGGATTTTTTGGACTAGATTTTCAACTATGAAGTGTGTTGAATTATATTAAAATTTGAAATAGAGGGCTTCAGATCTTCTTTCTTCTGTATTCAGCCGCATTCATTAAGTGCTCATAGTTCTTGTTTCGTTGCTCTGAAGTTCAATATTGTGTGTACTATTTGATTGCTGGGCAACCCCTACTTTTGTTTTCCTGAAGATTTTCTGCTTCTGTTCACTAATTTTTTTTTTCATTTAATGATTTGAACACTATTTTCAATGTCTGGTTATTATATTTTGTTATTATCATCCTAATTATATGCAGAACATTCAGTACTAGTGATGATAACCTATCAAGTTCTTCTTGTGAATATGCCAAAGTTGTTTCATGTCCTTCCCTAGTGTTCAAAATTCAAATAACATATTGAAGTATATGTTATTGTTATTTATGATTAATGGCTTTCCATATTTCATTCTTTCTGTGAATATGTTTACTGTGTTAGGTATTTATGAACTTTTAAGTCTTAGGTACATGAAAATATATGTTTAATCGTCTACCTAGTGCTGACAAGACTACTATCTATTGTATAGATGACTTAAAAGTTTTTATGATGATTATTTGCATTTCGTTGACTATTAATGATATGCATGATGTTCTCATTTCAAACATATAAATTGGTTTTGCTTGCCGTGCTCCTTTTCCAGATTTATGTGTGCCAGAGGTTTTTAACCATTTTTTATACATAGTTTAATGTTCTGTTGCATTTTTTTTAAGCTTATTTTGGAGCTGTCTTTTTGCATTACTGTTCAACTACACAAACGCAAAATATGCTTGGGGATTGTTATTTGAAAAACTTGATTAGAGTATGACTATCAAGTATCAACTACTTGTTTCTCTATTTTTATGAGACTGAAAGGTGTTGATAATGAATTTTTGTTATTAATTTGGGTGGTGTTAATATTCTTTGGATAATGGTACAAGGTATTAAAATATGGGGTTATATAAGGGTTAGTATTCCGACTCTTCAAAGGAAGGAACATTAAAGTAGGATGCAATTGATTTGTTTACAGTGAATGATTTGTTTCTAATTTGTCTGGGTATCTTGACAAATGTTAGATCTCTGTCACACTTGAACATCTTGGGTTGGGTGTAATTATTTGTGGTTTAATACTGTTTTGATTCTTTCAATTTTGAATGTGTAATTTTTCGTGCAATGGTAATTTTTAAGTTGCCTTTCTCAGGGTCAAAAATCTCTGGCATTGGATACAGCTATTGGAATGTGGCAATTATTATTTGCCGAGAAACAGTGGCCATTGGTTGATCACTGGTGCCAGTTCTTGCAGGTAATATATTATGCTTATCCACCTTTATATCTTTCACTGAGTATGTTTGAAGCTTTCTATTTGGATAGCTTCAACCAGGAGATAAGATATCTAATAATGCTTCTTTATTTTACTTATATTGAAAACTTCGATGCTACTTTCCCAGGCTCGTCATAACAAAGCAATATCTAGGGACACTTGGTCTCAGCTTTTGGAGTTTGCAAGGGTAAACTAATTAGCTATTAACCATCTGAATAAAATTCAATTGATGATGCCCTCATAATGTGGATGTACACTTGCCTTCTTGATGTTGATTTATTATTGCATGAATATATCTATGCATGGTCTCTGCTTGTGTACTTCTGTATATACCTGACAGAGCTAGACTAAATATCTAGAAAGATAATGAGGAAAAAGAAATCTGTTTATCTTTCTTATTTTATACGGTCTTTCTCATTATGTCTGTCTGACCATCTTGCCAATACTGGCTATTAATAGCATCCCTGCAACCATCTTATCAGGTCTTGTTTTCTTATTGCCATTTTTTAACACTTTACTGCCTCTGAAATGCAATGATTCATGTGGAACAGAGGAACCAACAATACACTAGTACTATTGTCGAAATTATTCATTGTCAATAATCTAGCTGTGGCAGTGATAATTTATGAAGTTATTTCCCTCTTTATAACAAAATTGGTCATAACACACTAAAAAAATCCCCAAAAAATAAAGGAACAGCCAAACAGGAAAGAAATTGAACAGTAATATTTCTATGCTGACAAATGATAAACTCTTGAAATGACAAAATAAAAAATGCCCAAACCCCATAACTTTTCAATTGAAAGTTGAAACCCTAGTCAAAATTATCATATTATACATCAGTGGTTGCTGTAGTAGTATCCATGCATAAAAGTTTGAACAGTAAAGGAACAGCCAAACAGGAAAGAAATTGAACAGTAATATTTCTATGCAGACAAAGGATAAACTCTTGAAATGACAAAATAAAAAATGCCCAAACCCCATAACTTTTCAATTGAAAGTTGAAACCCTAATCAAAATTATCATATTATACATCAGTGGTTGCTGTAGTAGTATCCATGCATAAAAGTTTGTGATGTTAAATGCTTTATTTTTCTTTTGTTCTTTGGGTTTCTGTTAAGGAACCCAATAGGGAAGGCTTATTGTAGGAAGAGGTGTAGTGGACCACTTCCCATAAGTATGCTGAGTCAGCAAAGAATATTCCCTAGTTTGTTGTGAGGAAATCAGTTGAGATTTGGAAAGAGGGTTAGAATCAATGTAGATGTTGCTGGAGTAGTTAAATAGGGGAATGGAGGAGCAATGGAGTTATCGGGAAAATTGCTTGGGCTTGGGCATTGGGAGAGAGTGGAGCCTCTCATATTTTCTTCACACGATCTTACTTTCTGCAATTTTATTCTCTTCTTTTAGTTTCTGAGTTGAAGTTGTAATTTCTCAGCTTATTTTTCCAATTTGTGAACAACCAACAGTGTGTATGAAGACTTGGTAAATGCTGAATTGGAGAAAATTAATACAATTATCTGTTGAATTCAGTTCTTATTTCTTTCTTACTGAATTCTGATCCTAACAGTTTCCAAATCAATCTTCAATATATTTAAAGGCATTACTGCAATTCCTGGAAAAATAAAAAAGATGTTACATGTGAAATGTTAGTTATTTTATTTTTTTTTAACTTTTTTTAATACTTGATTAGCTGTGTGTAGGAAAATATAATTTCAATAGTACTCCAAATGCTTCAATCCTTCCTCTACTCCCAACCTAATAAAGGAACGAAAATATAAATGATCTCTGTTGAGTTTGGTTTTTAATGCTTTTGAATTGGATGTCGGTAATGTTAGTTGTAAATCTTCATTTTCATCTAATTGCCCTCTGTTGAGTTTGGTTTTTAATGCTTTTGAATTGGATGTCGTTAATGTTAGTTGTAAATCTTCATCTTCAGGTCACCGCCTATAGATTGAGAAGAATTGCTGTTTGCTTTTACTGTTTTTTAAAATGACGATGCAAGTGGAACTTTTCGTGGTGGTCTTTTTATGATATTATGCTTTTGGACTTTATGAACACAAACCACTAATATTTGTCATGTTCTGTTATGCAGACTGTTGGCTCTAATTTATCTGATTATGATGCTGAAGGTGCTTGGCCGTATCTTATTGATGAGTTTGTTGAATATCTGAACGAGAATGGTATCATCCAAAATGGTCAGATCAATGATTCTAGTCTAAAACGATGATGCATTCAGTAAGATGGTATTTAAGGGAATTTGATCTCTGCTCTCTTGTGATGAGTTTTGCTATTCTGTGATCGAACTCCTCCTTGTTATTAAGGGGGATTTCGTCTAAATATGCAAGAAGAAGAGGACATGGCTGCTAGAGCAAACTCATTCTTGCTGACAAAGTAGTAGCATCATTTACTTGTGGGATTGTTGATATGGTATATGAATTGGGGAGTATTGTGAAATAAGTAACGGGAGCCTTCTGATTCCATGGTGTTATAGTTTCATTTTTCCTTCCAATTTAATAATTTATTCTTGTACTATGTCTTCTTAGGTAAAATACTTCTGTGATTGTTACTGAATGTCCTTGTGTCTGTTCTACTTTCATCATTTTGTAATATATGTGGCACCTTGGTATTGAAACATTCATGAAATAGAAAAGAAAGCGGGGGAAAAGTATCTAGTATATTTGGAGGTTTGCTATATATAATGGAAATATATTTTTATGTTGCTTGAGATAATGCACACACAAAAATTGATTGTGGTTTATTTATTTTTCTCTCTTTTCTCTTTAGTGGGTTCAACTTATTTTTTTGGTGTGTGCATGAGATAATTTTGTTTGATGCAACATGAGAAATATATAGTTTTTATATAATTGAAAAAACTTTAGTAATACTCTTTAGATTTGTTTTAGAATAAAAAAAAATACTCTTTTAAGTCCCCCCCCCCCCCCCCCCCCCCTCTTTAATCAGTAATACTCTCATGATAGATTACATTAATAGCCCTTATGTATTGTCTAAATAGGAATAATAATGAGAAAAAAAAGACATGAAGGTGTTAATCGTATTAAGGAAGAGTCAGTTTTTATTTTTTATTTTTATTTTTTTTAACTAAAGGTATTACTGATAAAAAAAAAACAGGAGTATTTTTTATTTCAAAAAATCTAAGGGATAATATTATAGGTCTTACGTTTTTATTTTTAGTGTGAAATTGACTGCTTGCATCTGCAAAGCTTAAAAAATAGAACTCCACGTTGTAATAACATTCGATTTTAACAATATAGATTTATGGAACAGGTTATGTTTACAACTTTTTTTGTTTACAACTCTTACAATTTCAACTATGTTCTTCCAGGAGAACACTCTCTATTAGTGTTCTCTCGGGAGCACATAGTTGAAGTTGTAAGAGTTGTAAATAAAAAAAGTTGTAAATGTAACCCTCACCTAGATTTATAGATACAAACTAATTATAGATACAAATTAATTATAGATACAAAATCTTCTAGTAGTAATAACATTGTTTAATACCATGCAAGCTTCGCAGTTGCCTGAACATTCTAGATTTATAGATAATATAACAAACAAATTGAATCATTTTTATTATTAAGAAAAGAGGAAAAAATAGTAAAATTTTAAACTTCTTCGCATATGAAACCCTAGAAATCACTATTTGTATGTACAAAATGGTAATAGTGCTATAGCCCTCCAAGCTTGTAGCATAATGGTGCACAGTTGCTGTTAGTTGACCATCACGTACGTTGTGCGCTATGCCTTACCAACTTTGTATCTCCATGCCTCGCATGTTTGGAAATTGATCTTCTATTGAGTTCTAGTGCAATGGCCTCCAATTTTTCCAGCAATCATATAGTAGGAATCATGGTTATATGAAGTATGCAAAAAAATGTCACAAAATCAGTGTGTAAATATATGTTTAGTTCCTCGATATACTTTTTTAGTAGAAAGTTATTAGATTCTTAGTTGTTTGACCTTTAAGAGCTCTGGTTTTGTGCTAGCTTATTTATTTTATTTTATTTTATTTTACAGGTATTCATATTATTTTGAAATGTTCATTTCAAAAAAATTACCATCAAAATATCATTAGTATTATTGCTTCTTTTATTTCGGATTAGAGTCTGAGTAACACTAGTTAAAGGGTTACGAAGCTATGGTATAAATTTAGTCCTTATAACTTGAAATGAATTTAATGACGGTGGCAATGGGTTGTTGTTTCGGCCCATATTCAGAAACGATAGAAAAAGGCCCACAAAAGTATTTGAATGTATCAAGGATTACAAGACTCACTGAAGCTCGATGATATTTCAGATCACATGATAATATCAATGGATAAGTAGAGACCAAGCTAAGAGGCACTGTTCCAAGTATGAAGCAAGCAATCAACAATGGAGTTAGGTGTGAAGATGTGTGACTCAATATAAATGGACAGAATAACGATACATAAGATACCTTCTTGGTGTGTCCATGGGGCTTATTTATAGGGGAAGGTGATGTGAACCTTGTGTGGGTTGGTGAGGAGGGAGTTAACCCTCCTCGGGATCTGCTAGGGTGGCAGATGCTGCTGGGCTTGGCAGGCACTGCTATGATAGCAGCGATGCGCTCCTGTGCCTGGCGATGTCAGCGTGTGACAAATGGTAGTTTCCTCTTATGGTATCTGGGGCAGTCACCTTTGGGGGTTGGGGTCCCAAGACTGGATATTTTGGTGTTTCCCCTAGGGAGTGTCATTGCGTTGGGGGTTGAGTTAGGGGGCTGATAGCTGGTAGGGCTGACGTAGATAGGGGGATGAGATTAGCCTTGGACCTTTGGGCCGCTGTATTGTTGGGCCATCCGGAACAGGAGCCCCCCAGCTTGGTAGTAAGCGTAGGTTGGTGTCAAGTTAATGTTAGTACATAGGTGTCCTAGAGACAATCTGAGAGTCAGATGGACCCATGTACTTCTTTATTTGTTATGAATAAATTTTATGAATAAAAGCATTATTTATCTTGTTTCATATTGCATGTCTCAAATATTGAATATGAGTAACTGGATAAAGCCCTTGGAATGGAACAAGTGTCACATTGAGGATTTGTGATAGGGATCACGATCACGAGGGCTCAATGACACCACACGTCCATTTCCAGAAATATGCTCCTAGTCTAGAGATACCGATAATGGGCATTGGTGATCTCGGGTAAGACTAGCACGACTCAGCTACTTGCATGGAGATGCAAGGTAGAGTCCTCGTGAGCTACAGACATGGAGATGTCTTAGCTGACACGTGGTAGGACCTATTGAAGAATAGCTCGCACTAAACTGATCCACAAAGAGACACTACAAGGAAATCTCACAGATAGTATCAATAGGTAATGTCTCTTATTATTTGGGTGTGTCTTTCCTTAGACCAGACGTTGTCGTATAGACCTGTGCTCTGGAAGGCTTGCTTTGATTGTATATCTTGTCTGCCTGAAACATGGAGACTTGTAGGTATACTCTTGGGCATGCCCTAAGGACTCAGGGCTAGTGTGACGAGCTAAAGAAATTCGTCAATCTCTGTGAGAGATTAGGTTATCCGTAGACCGGTGAAACCGGGATGATATTTACGGGACTCGGGAATCTATGCATAGTAAAGGAGTCATGAGATAGCCCGCTCTTTAGTGTCCGTAAATGAAGATTCCCTGTTTCGGCAAAAGCTAACCCTAGACCGCAGGGGTTGATACGTTTTCTTTGACTTAGGTCAATGGGATGGATAACCGAGACGAAAGGACAATTCACACGGTAACCAAATAGGTATAACAGGTTGATCATTCGATGAACTCAACTAGCTCTGGGACAACAAAGCATTGCTAGTGCTCTGTGTTGTCATTAGATGGATTGGGCCTAATGGGCCCAAGCCCATTTATGTCAGTGGCTATGTTGGACCTGATGGGTCGCACACAAACACCTTAAGTTGTCTTGAATTCTAGCATATGTGTTTTGGGCCCAATAAGGCATAATGGGCCTAAGTTGGAAAAGCCCACATATTGGGCCAAGAGAGAGTAGGTGGCAGCATGGGTTAAGTTGGACTTGATCCATGATGTAACCTAATTAATTTAAATGTTAAATTAATAAAATTAATTTGAACTCTAATTTCGAATTTGAAATTTGAATTTAAATAAAATTAATTTAAATTCTAATTTTGAATTTCGAATTTAAAATTGGAATTTAAATATAGCCATTAAATTAGATTTAATGAAGATGGAGAAAATAAAGAAAACCAATCAATTAGATTGATTGGAAACAAATCAATTGGATTGATTGACCAAAATTAAGGAAACCAATTAATTAAATTAATTGGTTGAAATTGGGGAAACAAATCAATTGGATTGATTGACCAAAATTAAAGGAAACCAATTAATTAAATTAATTGGCTAAAATTAGGGAAACAAATCAATTGGATTGATTGACCAAAATTAAGAAAACCAATGAATTAGATTAATTGGCTGAAATTTGGGAAAACAATTAATTGGATTGATTGGGTAAAATTAAGGAAACCAATTAATTAAATTAATTGGCTGAAATTGGGGGAACCAATCAATTGGATTGATTGGATAAAATTAAGGAAATTATCAATTAAGATTGAGATTTGATGAGGGCGCTGATTTGACCTAGTCTTAGGTTAATGAGTCGCGACATCTATAAATAGTTCATCTTCTTCCTTAGTTTGGTATCTCTTCTTCATCTCTAATTTTCTCCACTGAAACTTTAGCCAACACACACATCAGTGTGGCAGCTATCTCTCTCTTGGAATAACCAAAGGCACTACCCAATCTCTATTCTTCTCTTGAGTCTAGCAACCTCCATTGAAGGAGATTGGGCATTCGATGAAGTGTTCTTCTCTTACAAGACAACAAGGTGGGGTGGATTTCCATCGGAGGACTTGTGTTCTTCAAGTCTGAAGAATTGATCAAGAACACATTTGATCAGGAAAAATAATCCGAATAAAGGTATCTACTTTAAACCCTTACATGTCTATTGCATGATTCATGGGTTAAACATGATTGAGGGTGGGCAAAGGTTGCTTCTTCCGTATAAAAAAATTTAATTTTTTCCTCTTTTATGTTCATGGCCTACAAAGGCAACTTTCAGTTAAATGGGCTTGGGCGACACCATCGGGGCGATTTGAGTGGTTAGTATGGGCGTGGTGAGGGATCTCTTGATGGCTCGGTAAGTATTTTGAGTCTTGGCAGTTCGAGGTGGGGTTTCGTACCATTTGTAACTTTGGCGGGCCGCGTGATTTGTAGGGGGCTTTTTGGACCTTTCATCTTTTTTGACGGGAAATGTGGCTTTTCAGTTTTCGAGGAGCAGTAATGAAGGATGCTTCCATCATTGCAATTAACTGCAGGCACTCAACCGTCACAAGGCACGACACATTAATGCGACATGAGAGGTGTCTTGTCCCCCTGTAATTACCATTAGGCCCTTCATCACAACCGCCTATTATGTGATGGTTGTGTTATCCTACGGTCGAGATGGTGGGGTATTACACGTGTACGCCATCCTGATCCTTCTCTCCCTATTTAAAGGAGGTTCTTCCCTCCTTGAGGACCTTATTCACAAATCTCAGGCTCTTTGTGTTCCTGCCTTCCTTATTTGCGCTTTCTTTCTTTGTGAAAGTGCTCGTGCCGGTCTTCCTTTCTTCCTTCTCTGCATTATCTCAGGTATAGTGTTTCTAGCTTGTAGCTTTGATATTTCTTTAA